GCCAAGCCCTGGGCGCCCGACCCCGTCGGCAGCCTGGCCGTGGCCAGCGCCCTGCACGCCGCGGCGCTGACGCGGCTGATGTCGCTGCTGGACCACCAGGCCGAGCTGCGCAGCGAAACCGACATCGACGGCCTCGTGAGCGAACTCAAGCTCATCGAGCGCCAGCGCGCCTTCGCCCGCCAGGTGTTCAACCAGGCGGTCGCTCAGTACAACGAGGCGCTGAACCAGTTCCCGACGCGGGTGCTGGCCAACCTCTACGGCTTCAAGGAAGCGCGGTCGCTGTGACGGCGCTCAGCCTGCAGGACGGCGATACCGAGGCAGGCTCGCGCATGCTGAAGGTCGATCACGCGGGTGAGCATGGCGCGGTCCAGATTTATGCCGCTCAGCTGATGGTCGCGCGATGGACGGCACCGCAACTGCTGCCTCTGCTGCGCGAGTTCCAGGCTCACGAGACTGGCCACCGGGCCCGATTCGAGGCGGAACTCAGGCGACGCGGTGTCCGTCGATGCCGCAGCTTCCTACTGTGTGCGGCGGGCGGGTGGGTTCTCGGCCTGGTCACGGCCCTGTGCGGGCGCTCGGCCATTGCGGCCACCACAGTCGCGGTCGAACGGGTGGTGCTGCGTCACCTGGAACACCAGATGGCGGTGCTGCGTAACGTGGATTCGGCGGCGTACGAGGCCGTGGCCGCCATCGTGGCCGAAGAGCAGGCTCACCATGACGAGCTGGCCCGCTACCTGCCGCGCAGCCGGTTCTTCACCGCCGTGCTCGAGCGCGTCGTGGGTGCGAGCACTGAAGCCGTCATCCGGCTCGGCATGCGACTCTGATCGAAGGGCCGGTTCAGCGAACCCAAACTCATCGAATGCCCGCGCGGCTGCGCCGTGCGGGTGTAAGGCCCGGCAGGGCTCGTGCGACAGCGGAGGATGCGCCTCCTGCCCGCCCTGCTCATCGCCGCTGCCAGCCTGCTGGCCGCCTCGGCCCCGGCCCTTGCCACCCCGTTGCAGCTCAGCGGCCCCACCCTGGACGGTGGCCGGTTCGACCTGCAGGCCCTGCGCGGCCGCGTGGTGATGCTGTTCTTCTGGAACACCGACTGCGTGCCCTGCGTGCAGCGCATGCCCGAGCTGCGCGCGAATGCGATGGGCTGGCGGGGCAAGCCGTTCACGCTGGTGCTCGTCAGCACCGACCGCGACCGCCAGGCTGCGCTCGGCTATGTGCGCACGTTGCGCCAGGTGGACAAGGAGGCGGTGGACACGCCGTTGCTGTGGGCCGGCGAGCAGCGCCTGGGCGGTGGCCTGACGCTGCCGTCGAGCGTGCCGGTGACGCTGGTGCTCGACGCCCGCGGCGAGGTCGTCGCGCGGCACGTCGGGCGCATCGCCCCGGAAGCCTGG